TAAACCTCTATGCGAGGATACCACGGGTAAACAAGAAATAATCCTCTATGTGAGAACACTACGAGTGAACAAGAGATAATCTTTTATGTGAGAACACTACTAACAGGAAATAATCTTTCATGGGAGGACACTACTGGTAAACAAGAAATAATCCTCTATGTGAGGACAATAATGGTAAACAAGAGATAATCCTCTATATGACGACACTACTAGTAAACAAGAAATAATCCTCTATGTGATGACGATAAGAGTAAACAAGAATAATCCTCTATGTGAGGACACTAATGGTAAACAAGAAATAATCCTCTGTGTGAGGACACTACTGGTAAACAAGAGACAATCCTCTATGTGAGGACACTACTGGTCAACAAGACATAATCCTCTGTGTGAGGACACTACTGGTAAACAAGAAATAAATCTCTATATGAGGACACTACTGGTAAACAAGAAATAATCCTCTATGTGAGGACACTACAGGTAAACAAGAGATAATCCTCTATATGAGGACACCACTGGTAAACAAGAAATAATCCTCTATGTGAGGAGACTACTGGAAAACAAGAGATAATTCTCTATGTGAGGACACTACTGGTAAACAAGAGATAATCCTCTATACGAGGACACTTATGGTAAACAAGAGATAATTCTCTATGTGAGGACACTGCTGGTAAACAAGAGACAATCATCTATGTGAGGACACTACTGGTAAACAAGAGATAATCCACTATATGAGGACAATATTGGTAAACAAAAATAATCATATACGTGAGGACACTAATGTTAAACAAGAAACAATCCTTTATGTGCGGACGCTAATGGTAAACAAGAGATAATATGCTATGTGAGGACAATACTGGTAAGCAAGAGATAATCTTCTATGTGAGAAAACTAATGTTAAACAATGAATAATCCTCTATGTGAGGACACTAATGGTAAACAAGAGATAATCGTCTATACGAGAACACCACTGGTGAACAAGAAATAGTCCTCTATGTGAGGAAACTAATGGTAAACAAGAGATAATTTTTATGTGAGGACAATAATGGTAAACAAGAGATAATCCTCTATACGAGGACACTTATGGTAAACAACAGATAATTCTCTTTGTGAGGACACTACGGATAAACAGAAATAATCCTCTATGTGAGCACACTAATGGTAAACAAGAAATAATCCTTTATGGGAGGACACTAATGGTAAACAAGAAATAATCCTCTATATGAGGACACCACTGGTAAACACGAAATAATTCTCTATGTGAAGAGACTACTCTTAAACCAGAAATAATTCTCTATGTGAGAACACTAATGGTAAACAAGAAATAATCCTCTATATGAAGAAACTACTGGTAAACAAGAGACAATCCTCTATGTAAGGACACTACTGGTAAACAAGAGATAATTCTCTATGTGAGGACACCACTGGTAAAGAAGAGACAATCCTCTATGTGAGGACACTACTGGTAAACAAGATATAATCCTCTATGTAAGGACACAACTAATTAACAAGAAATAATCCTCTATGTGAGGACAATAATGGTAAACAAGAGATAATCCTCTATATGAGGACACTACTAGTAAACAAGAAATAATCCTCTATGTGATGACAATAAGAGTAAACAAGACATAATTCTCTATGTGGGGACACTAATGGTAAACAAGAGATAATCCTCGGTATGGGTACAATACTGGTAAACAAGAGATAATCATCTATGTGAGAACACTAATGGTAAACAATGAATAACCCTCTATGTGAGGACACTACTGGTAAACAAGAGATAATTCTCTATGTGAGGACACTACTGGTAAACAAGAGATAATCCTCTATGTAAGGACGCTACTGGTAAACAAGAGACAATCCTCTATGTAAGGACACTACTGGTAAACAAGAGATAATACGCTATGTGAGGACACTACTGGTAAACAAGAGATAAACATCTATATGAGGACACTACTGGTAAACAAGAAATAATCCTCTATATGAGGACACTACTGGTAAACAAGAAATAATCCTCTATATGAAGACACTACTGGTAAACAAGGAATAATCCTCTATGTAAGGACACTACTGAATAACAAGAGACAATCCTCTATGTGAGGACACTACTGGTAAACAAGAGATAATCATCTATATGTTGACACTACTGGTAAACAAGTAATAATCCCCTATGTGAGGACACTACTGGTAAACAACTGACACTCCTCTATATGAGGACACTCCTGGTAAACAAGAAATAATCCTCTATGTGAGGACACTACTGGTAAACAAGAAACAATACACTCATATGTGAGGACACTACTGATTAACAAGAAATAATCCTCTATGTAAGG